CATTTTGTTGTTTGAAAGGTCTCTGAGCTGTAGAAACAGGGATCCCTGATGGGACGGTGGTTAAGCGCTGGACCGCTAACTGGACAGTCTGTGGTTTTGATTCCCGAGCTCTCCGTGAGAGAAAGACGCGGCAGTGCAGGCAGAGTCGCAGCCTTTGAAGCCAGTGCAGCGGCAGTTCTGCTCTGTCCAACAGGAATGCGATGAGTCAGGTCAACGCTGAAAGGGATGTTTTGTTTGGTTGGTTTTAGTTTAGTTGTAGAGAAATAGGCTTTGAATTCATATTTCCTTCACGGTAGGCAGTTTAAAAGGCTAAATGATTGACTGTCAGATTATCTTTTTGTTTCATTATATTACCTGGTCTCCTTTTAAATTTTATGTATACAGTGATACCTCGGTTGTCAAACGGGTCTAGGCTGAACTTTCTGCTACTTGAACAGCAAAGTTGTGTGTGTGTATGGATCTGCTCAATGTTTGTAATTTTGTTCAATAATCAAATTGAAAATCCAACTTGAAAAAAACGTGTGCAGGTTGAGAGTGAGTCCCAGGTCATGTCTCCTTGGTCACAGAGGAGTGATGTTCTCTCGCCGACAACAAATTTATAATGCTGGTGTTAATGTGTTAAAACATTCCCCTTTGTGCTTTTTTGTGCTCGTAGTTTGCAAAGAACACTGTAACTTTATTTTTATTGTGTTTTTATGTTTATTGTACTGTATTTATTGTGTTTAGATGTTTTAGGGGGCATTTCTACAACCCTTAGGTTAACTTTTTGTTAAGTCCTGCAAAATGAATTTATTAGTGTAATTTTGGGGCCTCAGAACCAATTACTTGGTTTTCCATGATCTCTTATGGGGAAATTATGTTCAATTCGTAAACTTTTTTTGATGTTTGGACATGACTTTGGAATGAATTGAGTTTGATAACCACGGTATCAAAATACACACACACATACATATTTATGGATATGTATGAAAGGGTGGCTGAGGAGGAGCTAGCAAAAAAAAAAAGTGTCCAATTGCTGCTCCGATGGTAGCTTGACATGCTGGTAAGAGGTGTGAAGATGTTTAGAGTCTTTCAAACTTTGACTGCAACCCATGTTTACATTGAATCTAGTGCACAGTTCACAGATATATATGTATATAAAAGATTTCCAGATATAGTGCTTGCTTTATAATGTATACAGGCTGTCTGGTATTTTAATTCTGTTGCATTTAAAATAATTGTGTTTACATCCCATAAGTTGCAAAAATACAGTTTTTAGTGTGTTTACATGTGTTTGTGGAGAAATTTACTGTACTATTAGGAAATAGAAGTCTTTAAAAATGCATTGTCATTTTCCACTAAATTATGTCCTATGTGAGCATTTAGTAAATACAATATTTTGCAAGCATGATGAAAATCACCTTGTGTTTTGATGAAATATAAGCAATTTTGTCAAAGCAAATGTAAGTTTCTCTGTGAAAAACTCATTTTTTACATTCTATCTATATCCTCCTTTGTCTTTTTTTTAATTGGAAAGAGAAAGCACAATTTAATAGGAGTATGCCTTTAAAAAAAAATATCCTCCTTTTTCATACAAAGCAAGCAAAGGTATGTCATCTACATGTAGCAGGTTGCTAACAAGTCTTCCTTCAATCCTGAACCACATCCTTCTTCATATAATCCAGCTTCTCTGATGATTTGCTCAGCACACCGATTGAATAAGTGGAGTGAGGTGCACACCTTTCCTGGTTTTAGACCATGCAGTAGTCCCTTGTTCTGTTCGCACAACTGCCGCTTGAGCCATGTACAGGTCTGCAAGAGCACAATGCAGTGTTCCGGAATTCCCAGTCTTCTCAGGGCTCTCCGTAGTTTGTGATGTTCCACACAGTCGTGTGCCTTGGGGTAGTCAAGAAAACATCATTCCGGGGTCCTCTGCCTTCAGCTCCGGTCCGTCTGACGTCAGCGATGGTATCCCGTGTTCCACGTCCTCCTCTCGATCCGCCCTAAACCTTGGGCAGCTCCCTGTCAGTGTACTGTTGTTGGAGGGTCTTCAGCAAAATTTTACTTGGATATATTAATACTATCTTTTAATTTGAACATTTTGTTAGGTCACCTTTCTTTGGAATGAGTACAAATATACATTTTTAGTTAATAATATACCAATATTAGACAACATAGAACATTACCACATCTATTAGAATGACTAAAATCCAAAAGACAAAAACACATGTTGATAAGGATGTGGAGCAATGAACTTTTCATTCATTGATGATGGGAATAGTACAGCCACTTTGGAAATACTGTTCAGCAATTCCCCCCCCCCCCCGCTCCCCCCCAGTAATTCTTAAAAAAGTAAACATTGGCTTACCATATCATCCAGAAAGTTTTATTCCTTAGATTTACCCAAATGAGGTGAAAACTTATGGCCACATAAAATTAGCACATGAATATTTATAGCAACTTTATTCATAATTATCCCGAATTAGAAGCAACTAAATGTCCTCCACTGGTGAATAAACAGGCAGTGGTATAGGCACACAATAAAAATATTATTCATCAATAAAAAGCTATCAAGCCACAAAAAGACACCGAGAACCTTAAATGCATACTGCTAAGCAAAACCAGTCACCCTGAAAAAGTGAAATATTCCTTGATTCCACCTCTATATGGAGTTTTGGAAAAACTAAAGCTGTAAACAGTGTGAAAAGATCTGTGATTGCCTGGGGCTCTAGGACAGTGGAGGTTTATGATTAGGTGCAAATGGCATTTTTCTTGGTGCCATGATTAACCTTCATCAAATTGGCTTCATGCACAACAGAATGAAACTCTGTTTAAGTCCTGCAACATCTTTCCTGATAGAGTTGTTCATCTGGTCTCGTTGACTTTCAGGAGATCACCAACTGTTTCTACTTAGCCCATCTCATTTTGGAAGCACTGCTGAAACCTGTTCACCATCATAGCAACACACAAGCCTCCAAAAACACACAGGTAGTACGCCTGCGCATAAGATGCACTGGCTGGGAGTTAAACTCAGATCTCACACCTGGTAGGTTCTACCCTGTTTCCCCCAAAATAAGACAGTGTCTTATATTAATTTTTGCTCCCCAAGATGCGCTAGTTCTTATTTTCAGGGGCTGTCTTATTTTTCCATGAAGAAGAATACACGGTACACATTTGCTTATTTTATTAAAAGAGACCTCACACTTCCTGTCTGCTCTGGCTGCGCTGCTGCCAGCAGTGAGCTGTGCAGCAGCGTCCACCGCTAAGGTCCAGAGTCCAGAGTTACGGTAGCTTAGGGGGGGTCTTATTTTCGGGGGGATGCCTTATATTTCAGTGAGAGGCAAAACAGTAAGTAGGTCTTATTTTCGGGGGATTTCTTACTTTGGGGGAAACAGGATACTTCTGAACCACCACTGCCCCTGAAGGTCATTTTCAGGGCAGTGGAACTGTTCTGCGTGATATGGTAATGGCAGACACACTGCATTATGAACCTGTCAAAGTTTATAGGACAGTACAACGCAAATTGTGAAGCCAGTAGGTGTCTCCAAAGATAGGCTTGGCGATCTACTTCCAAAGGTCATAGTCTTGAAAACTCAATGGGGCAGAAACCCTACTTCTGCACTTGAGGTTACCATGACCTGGAATTGACTTGATGGCCACTCACAGCCATGGAAACTGGGTCCTTGGGTTGTGCAAATTGTTAACACACTCCGCTGCTCATCAAAAGGGTTGGTAGTTGGATAGTTTGAGTCTAATAGAGATGCTTCAGAAGAAAGGCCTGGCAAATCTGCTTCCAAAAACCCAGCAACAGAAACCTTCAGTACACAGTTCTTCTTTGACACACATGAGGTCTCAAACTGATTTTTATGTAAATGAAGTTTCTCATAAAAAGTCTGTTTAACTTTATTCTAGTAATGTGGCACTGGGCGATGCCCACCACCCCAACACGATTGCTGGAGACAAACTGGGTGCATAAATAAATGTGGTGAAGAAAGCAGATGGTGCCCAGTTATTATAAGATACAGCATCTGGGGTCTTAATAGCTTGAAGCTAGACAAGTGGCCACCTAGCAGAGAAGTGACAAAGCCCACATGGAAGAAGCACACCAGCCTGTGTGATCATGAGGTGTTGATAGGAATGGATATCAGAAGTTCAAAAATAAACAGCCTCATCAAGGTGATGGAGAGGGGTCAAAGTGGAGACCCCAGAGCCCATCTGTGGATAATTGAATGCTTCCGTGCAGAGTGGCTGCACAAAGGAGAAAATGCATCCCGGGGCTAGTTTAACAAAACACAACACTCCTCTGGTTCTTTAATCCTTCCTCCCCTCACTATTATGATCTCAGTCCTATCTTGCAAATCTTGTTAGACCAGTGTACATACTGCAGCACAGACCAGAGCTTTCAATATACAGAATTCAGGAATGACAAACCCTCTCAGAATCAGTAATGGGAGTAATGATTCCAGGAGGACAGGGGAGGGAAAGGGGATGAAGAGGAATGGATAGCAATGATGGCAGAATTACCCCTTCAAAGGGGACTAATACCAGGATAGTAGGTGAAGGGATAAAATGGGCTGTGTAAGATATGTCTAGATCATAATACATAATAAGGGTTTTTGGGGGTGACAGGGTTGGGGAGGGAGGGGAAAAATGCTGATATCAAAGTAGCTCAAGAAGAAAAATAATGTTTAGAAATTGTTGTTGCTAATAATTGTATCTGTCCATGTGATATAATGGATGTATAGATTGTTATATGTAAGAGCCCCAATAAAATGATTTATTAAGAAAATAAGTGTTTAGAAACAAATTAAAAAATGGGTGGTGTGCCAGATTTGGCCGGTGAGCCATGGTTTGACAACTCCTGGTATAACTTAAAAATGGAGTAAAATCAGTAGTACATAAAGAGGAAAATTTAGCAATTATAATTGAAAATCTGGATAGCTATAGTGTCATTTATAGTGTCAATTTTCTGGATATTAGAGCTATACATTCTTGTATTGTGTTTATGTTATATTTTTCAGACAGTTGACATTCATAAAGAGAAAGTTGCAAGAAGAGAAATTGGTATTTTGACTACCAATAAAAACACTTCAAGGACACATAAAATTATTGCTCCAGCCAATCTTGAACGACCTGTGCGTTATATTAGAAAGCCTATTGACTATACAATTCTAGATGATATTGGACATGGGGTAAAGGTAGGTGTATTTTTTGTCAAGCTTTTAAAAACAGGAACCCTTAATGGTACTAACTCTAGGAAAGAAAACTTTCATCCTTCCTTTCTTAGAAGACTAAGACTGGGCCCACATGTGGCGCTGGATTCCTTGCCACTATTAACTGTTTTATCCCTTTTACCTTTTCGTAGTGCTGTTTTCTCAAGTTTGTTAATCATCTTTGGATGAATTGGCGTTTATTTAATCAGTTTTGATAATTCATCTAGGTGTGATTAGAAAGTGTGGTTTATCTTTCTAATTTTCTAATGGTTTAATATGACTAATTCTAAAATTTTGTCATGTTATCGAAGTATTTTTCGTATCAGAAATATATCAGATTTTTTGGCGTTAGTTTTCAGAAACAACATATATGAATAAACATGTATTTTGAATTTTTCTAGAAAATTTTCCCCCCAGGTTTTTGGGGTAAAAACACTGTAGCTCAAATATACAAATTAATGTTACCACTGCTTTTGAACCAGTATATATTTTAGCTCTTTTAAAAAATGTATTTGATTGTCTACTGTGTTTACAAGTTACCATAATCAAAACTAAGAGGCATAGAATTTTATTTAAATTGGTGTTTACATTTAAGAAACTATTCAGAGGTTCAGCTAGGTATTCAGTTATTTAAAATCCCATGTGATCAATAATTTGAAAGATAACAATTTACCAAATGTCACTTTGAGGGGGGGAAGAGTGCTTCCAAAAGTTTGTGAAAAAATGCGATTTAAAGAAATGGAATTTTTCCATGCACTGTTTAACATCCCACCCCCACTTTCATAAGCTGATAGCTGATTTATGATGTGAAAATTGTAATTTATACACCTAATTCTTATATAGTACATAATATTCTTGTATAATAATGAACACTTATAAGTATGTGTTACTTAATAATACTGACACATACTACACTATTAGACCTGGGAATCAGTTGAGATCTAAATTTAATGCAGATATAGGTTAAAGAAAAGATATAGTGCAAGTTTATTTTGCAAATCTCTTGTTCTTCCTAGAGTTTTGATATAAGAACTGTTATCTGAAATTTGATATTTAATGTTATCATTGATAACTATATTCATTGAAATTGGTATACTAATTCGAGCATGTTAAAATAGGATGTGTAATTGGGTGGATAATTAATAACTGAAATTTATGCTAACTTGGGGAAATCTTTGAGATTTATTCAAGGCCAACAGCTGCTAATGGAAAAATTTAGGGTGCTGAAGCACTGAGAACATAAAAACATCAGTGCTTGCCTACTTAATCAATAAGACAGTGTCCCCTCCCCCCAAATTCTTGTTTAAATCTTATTAGTAGTTTGGAACTCTGTTATTTAGTAGCTTGGAACTCTGTATGCCCTTCGTGATTGGATTTTTAGAGCTTAGGGGCCACCAATTTGAAGAAATTGTTAGTAAAACTACGTTTTTGATGTAAGCAGTGTCTCAGATAATTTCATCCAAAAGAACCTCCTGTCCATGATACATTCTGCTTTAACCACTCCTCCTGTGATCTACAGAAACATCATTTGTTAATGCTGAATGCTTAACTTGTGCTTTGTTTTTTTCTTTTCTCTTCACATCCTGAAATTCCAACTAACCTTTCAATGCTTTTTTTTCCTTACCCTTTTATTTGCTCCATTTATGCATTAAGTGGTTGCTTAGATTTAAGGTAAGAGATTCCAGGGCTGGATTTCCATTCTGTGTTCTTATGTAGAATATTACATATGGGGAGTGAAGATATATTTGGTACTTGACCTTTTTACAAAAACATTAAGTAATTCTTAAAATAATTTTTTGTGGTGCAGCTTTATGGTGTATATTCATGTTCTCTGAGGAGAGATTGTTGTTGTTTTTTCCTGTTTTGTTTCATTGAGCAATCCTTTGTATCTAGCACAGTGCCTGGCACTCATTAGGCACTAGTATAAATAATGAATTCATGGTTATGCGGTAAAACTAGTATGTTTTATGAAACAGAGATGCAAGTTACCCTGTCATAAAGTCTTACTATCAACTAAAGTTAGTCGTAGTTTTGTAAATGCAGAAATTTTGATGTAGCAGAAATTTTCTTATAACAACTGTGCTTCATTTAACCCTCCCCCTGTGTAATAGCCTTTTTATTCTATAAATGTTATGCTGCATTATGTACTTTGTAACCAGTGTATCATTATCTCTTGACATTTTAATAAATGTAAAGAATTGAGAAGAAGAAAATAGGTGTTTTTTTAAATTGCAGTATCATGTATCTTACAGAATTAATCTTTTTCAAATTTCTGTGTAAAATAAATACATTTCAATAAACTCACTTACTGCCATCATGTGTATCGAGACCCTATGGGACAGGTTAGAACTGCTCCTGTGGGTTTCTGAGACTATAACTCTTTATGGAAGTTGGAATCCTCATCTTTCTCCCACCAAGCAACTGGTGCTTTCAAACTGCTCACCTTGAGGTTCACAGCCCCATGTGTAACCACTATGCTATCAGGGCTCCTAAAATAGCATCTTAGTGAATTTATATTTACCGTACTTAGCAAGTGTTCTTTCTTTTTTTTAAAATAGCCACACTTATATGAATTTTCTTTCTTACATATATATTCTTTCCTTCTAATATCCATTATTTGCATGTCTCTACATAGAAAGTTATAGTCAGAAGACAAGAAAACAACTGAGTTCTTAACTAGTGTCTTAGTTTCCTAGGACTGTTGTGACAAAATACCACATAATGTATCAGAAATTTATTCTTAAAATTCTATAGGATAGAAGCTCCAACCTGGGTCCTAGCCATGTGGATTGCTTCTGAGGGCACTGAGAGAGGAGCTGCTTTATCCTCCTCCTTAGCTTCCTGCAGCAGCTGGAATTCCTTGGTGTTCATGGCGGTGGATGGATGTATCCTCATATGAAATCCTTTCCCCCTCTAGTTATCTTCCCTCTTTTTTATAACTATCGCTCAGACAGATTAGGATCTACTCTATTTCAATATGACCTCATTTAGCTGATAAGAGCTTCAGAAGTCATGTTCATAGGAACCAAGGGTTAGGACGTCAGCGTATCTTTTTGGTGTGGCACAGTTAAAGCCATAAGAACTAGTTGCACACCATGGTCACAAGAAGTTGATTAGGTTTGTAGGAGAGATGTCTGAATATTAACTGGAGCAAAGGTTCCAAACCCTCAGTCTTGGTGTGTGAAACTTCTCCATGTGGACTTTTAAGGAGACTTCTTTTGCTTAAAATAGGTAAGATTTCAATGAACTAGGTAAAAGGGGGCTGTGTGGCTACCCGGACTCTTTACTTACTAGAGTCTGTATTCAAATTTTGGCTATTGATGTGTTACCTACAACGTAATAAATTAATACAAAGATTAAAATACAGAGAAGGGTAAAATCCTTTCTCCCTAAATGTAGACCACTTTGTGTAAATTCCACTACTTGTTGCGTGTTTATTTTAAACACTGTTGTGATTTTTGACTCTCCTGTGTTCAGAATCTATTTCCATGTGGGAGATAGACCACACTGAGTAGAAATGAGAGTCTTCTGGAAGTATATGTTGAGGAAACATTCACACTTAGGTAAAGCCCTGAACATCTTTGCTCCTAGTACTTAGAGGCGCACTCTGGTTACTGAGACTGTATGGGCATTTCTGTTACTTGCTGGTAGAGGTGACTGTACCAGGCACGCACATTGAGTTGAAACTAGAATGTGCTAGTATGCCACCTTCCCAATTTTTCCCCTCTCCTTGTGAATGTTTTGGCCTTCTCTCTGAATCTGTGGCCCATAGTTACACTGGCTTTGGCTGAACACTCAAAGAAAACCTACCTATTTTAAGCAAAAGGAAATAAACCAAATTTTTCATCATTGTATGCTAGTGAGAAATATAAAATTAGTGGGTTTGAAAGGACGATTAATGAAAGAATAAAGTATTTAAGGTAGATATTAGAATGGAAGAACGTTAACATTGGAAGGGATTACAAATATAAACAAACTTTTGGTTTCTGAACTGAGCTTCTTAGAAATGTACAGATGCTGCCAAGTGCTGTAGAAATCTCGTGCAAGATAGAATTATCAATTCCTTATCATTATAACTTTTAAAGACCTTCTCCCCTTTCCTTTTATTGTGCTTTCTCTGGCTCTTGTTAAGCTCTTGGTGAGCTCTGTCTTTGCCGGCAGACTCAGATACCAACCATGACCTTTCAGATGGAGCCTAAACAGAACCATCATACTTTGGCACCAGACACATTGCAATTGAACCTGAAGAGACCTTACTTTAAAAAAAAATCATTTTATTGGGGGCTCATTCAACTCTTTATCACCATCCATCCATCCATCCATCCATCCATCCATCCATCCATCCAGTCAAGCACATTTACACATTGTTGCCATCATCATTCTCAAAACATTTGCTTTCTACTTGAGCCCTTGGTATCAAGGGCTCATTTTTCTCCTCCCTCCCTCCCTCCCTCACAAACCCTTGATAATCTATAAGTTATTATTTTTCCATGTCTTACACTGAGCAGTGTCTCCCTTCACCCATTTTTCTGTTGTCCATCCCCCAGGGAGGGGGTTATACGTAGATCCTTGTGATCAGTTCCCCCTTTTTACCCCTCTTTCCTACCACCCTCCCAGTATCGCCACTCTCACCACTGGTCCTGAGGGGTTTATCTGTCCTGGATTCCCTGTGTTTCCAGTTCCTGTCTGTACCAGTGTACATCCTTTGGAGTCCTCCTTTCTTAAACGTAGAATTATTCACATTTTATACATAACATGTTCTGGTGGTGGTTAGTGAGTCTTGCATCTGAAAGCTGAGTTAATTATTTCTTCAGTGAGCAGGGGAGAACACGTTTCAGACTTGAATTTACAAGACCTTTGGAAGCATGCGGTGATATAAAAGGCCCATGGATAAAAGGCCAACTTGAAGATGTTTTAATATATACCCAAGACCATATAAAAGTGGGCTATACCTTTATCAGTGAGGCCTTTTTGCTGCTCTTTATTTTAATGAGATGAGTTTTGAGACCCTGTTAATTAAGTCAGTGTGATACATTTGATAGGGATTTGCCTTTATTGAAAGCAGAATACTGCTTATAGTGTAACAGAGCTTCATACTTTGTAAATAAGCATATTTAATAAAATATCAGGGATTACTATAGCATTTATTCCAGTTAAACATTGCCCAGTCAGATTCTGAGTAAATATAATGGTGAAGGTCAAAGGGCTTACTTTATAGCTAGCTAATGAACATTTCTGAAAATTCTGTGATTTTGAAGACCTGTAATTTAACTACCTGTTTAAAGTAATTGTCATATCCTACTGAAGTACAGTAAATTGCCTCTTATGTGCCTGGTTTTCATGAAGAACTAATTCAAGAAAAACTAATAGCAGCAACCGTTGAAAGGTCTATTACCTATTTTCACTTATTCCAAAGCTGGAGCCATCAAATCTATTTAGACAAAAACTCGCTCACATCTCACTCCTGTGTCTTATTGATTGCTTGTCTTCTAAACCTTTCAACCAAAATTTTTATGTCTGTCCTAAAGTTATCCTCTAATTCCTGGACTCCACTTTGATTTCTTTCAGGAATTTTTGGGCTTTTTCATGCTAGCCCCAGTAACCAAAGCTATAACCATACTCATTGCCATCAAGTTGATTCTGACTCATAGTAACCTTATAGGACAGAGTAGAACTGTCCCTTGGGTTTCCAAGACTAAGTTTTTATGGGAGTAGAAAGCTTTCATCTTTATCCTGAGGAGCTACTGTTAGTTTCGAACTACTGATCTTTCGCTTAGTAACCCAATTTGTAATCCACTGTGCCCAGGGCTCCTAGCCCTCTTAAAGGAAGTGTAAAATCAAAGTGGGGGTGTACGGCTCTGTATTCTTCTAGGGTACCGTAGGGTTCTGCAGTCAATAGGACTAAGACGAAACAGTTCTAAGAGTGCGTGACCACAGCTTTGTTCACCAGCCTCGTGGCACAAAAACCACATGGTACACACATCTTCTACACTTGATCTTAGCCCAAAGGCTGACAAGCAATTTGTACACACATCTTCTTTCTCTTTGTGTACTAGAGGCTTCCAAAAGCGTGTGCAAAGTTCCCATTGTCTTTCAATCCTGTTTTTCGTGAACTTTTTGAAGCCCCTGATAACTATGTCTACCTCACTTTTAGCTTATTAATAGTCCAGCTCAGATTTTTGTTCTTGTGAATCCTTCTTTAGCTATTCCTTTATACATTGATAATCCCTTTTCCCCCCCCCCCCCCCCCATAGAATTTCCAGAAAATGTTTCCTTTTTCTTTTAAAAATAAGTCACAAACCTAGTGCCATCAAGCTGATTCCAACTTGTAGCAGCCCTTTGTAGGGGTTCTGAGTCTGTAAGTTTTTCTGGGAGCAAACTACCACTTTTCAAAATCCCAAGGAGCAGCCTGATGGGTTTGAACTTAGAGCCTTGTCGGGTCAGCACCCCAATACCTAACTCACAGTACTACCTGGGCTCTTATTTTTCAAAATGGTCTTATTTATTCAAAAACAGTATAAACTTTTAAAAGCAGAACTCCTTTGCAGCCCTTTGGGGGCCTCCTTTTCCCTTCCCCGTTGACTGGTGTCTGGTAGGTAGCTGGTAAATGGTGGCTATGTGCCGGTGTTACTGTCACATCTCCCATAGTTTGGTTCAGCATGTCCAGTAAATACTTGTCAGCAGCAGAGGTGATGTCTTCTGTGAATTAAAGGTACTTGCCTCGTTAGCTGAAGGGTAGAAGGATCCAGAAAGCTCAGAGACTTGTTGAGAATATTGGGTATCAAAGTTTAAGGAGGTATTGATTATATCAAAATAGATGGAACTGGAACGTGGGGAGCCCTGCAGAAAAAGATTAAGGCATATTAACTGGCCCGATGGATGATGTCAGCTGTACGCTCCACAAAGCCTGGGAGAACAGCCCACTCTCTGGTCCCAGGGGAAGGCCTCCAATCCCCGTGTGGCCCACCTTCCTCACCACAGGCCGTTGGGGAAGTGAACCGTGGGTGGGCATTACCCTTCACACCTAATGAAACACAGCTTCTTCTCGGGAGTGTTCTCTGATAGGAAAAAACCTAAAAGACCTTTTCTATTGTGTCTAATATTGCTTTACATAGTTCTCTATGATATCTTTCCCCTTTATGGACTCCCCTCGCCCCCCCAAAATCACTTGATAGGATTGTTGTTGTAATCAATTTTCATCCCATAGTCCCAAATAAAACCTTAAAACTGTGAATGAGTACTTTTACTCATGATTCCAGATCATTAATCACATTTTTGTGCTAAATCACAGTTCTCATGTTTGTAATTTTCAAAAATGTTTCAAGTGGGATTGGTATTAGGAAGTGGCTGCAGTGTTGCCTTGCTTTTTAAATTTGTGGTATACATACGTGTGTACACAAACAGACACACACACACAATTTAGTCATGTGTTTCGCTCATATCTTACTGATAAGAGCAGCATAACTACTGAGTAAATATTTTTAAAACACATTTTAGATTTGAAACAGTTTTTTTTCACATTCACTGTAATACAAAACCCACTTGTTTTCCTTTTATAAAGAAATGAAGTGTTCTTAATTGTTCCTGGGAGCCCAGCAGCATCGTGGTTAGATGTTGAGCTGCGGACCACGGGAGTTCCCGGGAGAAAGACGAGGCTCTCCAGTCCCCTAAGGAGTTAGGGTTTTAGAAGCTCACAGGGACAGTTTCTGTCTTGTCCTACAGGGTGACTGTGACTTGGGATTTTCTTGGTGGCATGAGCGTATAAAGCCTTGTATTTCCTCCTATTCACCTCCTTTTTCCTGTAACTTGAAAAGTTCCACCTACTGCTCTTGAGGCAATTCTAATTCAAGGCAACCCCTTGTTTTGCAGTCAAACTGCCCCAGAGGGTTTTCTTGGCTACAATCTTGAGAAAAGCAGATTATCTGACCTTTCTTCCATGATGTTGGTGGATGTATCAAACTGCCAACCTTTATGTCCAACCACCAACCATTTGTGCAGCCCAGGAACCTTTCCTGAAATTAGATGGCAGTCTGTATGTTCTGCATAACGTACTCATCTTACTTAGCATAGATAGAGACCCTTTCACAAGGGAAAATGCCTCGACAACACCGTAACTCCTCTGTTAGCGCCGTATAATGGTAGGTAGGTATGTAGAGAACACCAGTGAAGTTGAAACCAACTCACGGTGACATTGCATAAAACAGGACAAAATGCTGCCCGGTTATGCATTATCTACACGATCGCCAGGTGCCCAGTCCTTCACGTCAGCTGTCCTGCCAGTGAGGGGACGGTCCCTTCATTTACCTGGCCACCTGCTTCTTCAGATGTGATGTTCTTCCGCAGTGGTGATTTGTTCAAACCAAATGAGCGGACAGTACACTGGTGTACGTCTTAAGCTGATCATTGGCTCATAGGGGAAGTAGATCTGCAGGCTCTTCTTCCAAGTCTGTATAGTCTGGAAACTCTGCTGAAACCTGACCGTTGGGTAGGAGTTGGTAAGTATTTGAAGTACCAGTGACAGCTTCCAGCACAGTAATACACTAGCCACCGTAGCATGATAAAGCCCACAGGGAGTAGCAGGATAAAGATGGTACAGTACAGTTTGGACATCCGACTGGGATTCTGTTTTTTTTTTTTTTTTTCAGCTGTTCACATCTTTATTTTTATTTTTTTTAACATTTTATTAGGGGCTCATACAACTGTTATCCCAATCCATACACACATCAATTGTGTAAAGTGCATTTGTACATCGTTTCTCAAAACATTTTCTCTCCATTTAAACCCCCGACATTAGGTCCTCATTTTTCCCCTCCCTCCCTGATTCTGTTTTTTTTGCTGATTAAAAAAAATTAATTCTTCATCCAACCTCATTAGCCCAACAAATACAATTATTTGATGATTCTAAGATCACAAAATATATTGTTTTATTTAAATGTGTACCAGGTTTTAATTTATATATTGTTTGTATTATTTGGGGGTAGGTTTAAAAGACAGAAGATACTGCAATTTAAGCCAAAACATCTTACATACCAAATCCTAAAATCAGAATTGGAAGACTATTTTCAAATATTTCAGCTATTCCATGTATAGAATAAAATTACTTTGACTATTTTCTATCCCTGCTCCTTTTCCTTTCTGTTACTAGAAAATTGTTATAGTTTAGTGTTTAGTTTATCTATTACTTCTCCCTGAACAGTTCGAGTAACTTCAGGTTCCATGTTGTTAAAGGTTGAGCTTAAAGGACTTTGGTTACTACTTTAAAAAATATTTTGGTATCATAAATTAAATAGCTACAGTTTTAAAAAGCTATTGGCTATTTGTCATATTAGTTTAAAAAATTACTCCAATTGTGAATTGGTTTTTTAAAACTGGCATTTTACTTTTAAAATATGATCAGTATATAGGCAGTTCCTTGGTTATGAATATCTAGCGTCTGTATAACCTATAACTGCTGTACAAATCAACCCCCTAAAACCTATCATATTAAAATTTTCTGGTACATACAATGGTTCGTAATGACACATAGGTACTGCTTTGCACGCGCATCTTTATGCTAAAGATGTTTTAGTGATCTGGAAGTATTTTTTAAAGTGTTTTCCATGCATGAAATAATAGTCTATATACTGTATATACGAACTGTACCTACCTGTTCCAATGTATGTGCAAATTAGACCAAATGATAGATTGAGGACTGGGACCCGTTTGTAACCTGGGCACTGCCTATACCCTCTGCTTATTGTTGAGGGAGAGAGCAAGGATAAGTTAATCTTTCTTCTTCCTTGATAATCACTTTGTACTCATTGTTTAAAAACAACAAAAGGATTACAGATGAATGCTTCATGTACAAATATTGACATTTCAAAGGTACCATTTGTCATGAAAGATTGCTTTAACATCACACACAACGTGTTCACTGGCCTATTCGTTTGAAGTTGTTTCTTGATACACAAGGGAGCTTCAAAAAGTTTGTGGAAAAAGGGACTTAAAAAGATGATGGAATTTTCAAAAGAACCATTTGAAGCCTTCTCATCTGATTTCTTTGCTATCTAAATGACAATTAGGATTTTTTTTTGATATTTAAGAAATCCACCTAAGCCAGAGTTAGAGATCTTTTCAATACTGTGTACATGATCATGATTTGAGTTCTTGTCATTCACATTTTGAGATTATAAACATCTTCTGCTTTCAGTGCTTTAACGTATTGCACTTCCCTTTTTAAGTACAGTCTGAATAATACCCTAGACCCATTTCGGAGCTTTAAAATAGGGTCAGATGTGAAAACTTTATGTTGAACATTAAATTTAAACAATCACTCATCTCATACAGCTTGAAATGGTGAATGATTTGTGTTGTCTCCTTAAGAGATCCAGATTTCTAGAGCTGTTGTTATTAAATGTTGACAAACTCCTTGGTGGCATTTATTGTCCAGATTACTCATTTTTCCCTGCACTTGCCTTTTTGTATGGGGATAGACGAGTGAGCGGAATCATGGGTGAGTTTTGACTTAGAACTTTGTAGTATCTCTTTCATGCCTAAATTAACCTTCACTTTGGGCTTGAGAGGTCTGCTTCCCACTAGAGCTAGGACAATGCCATTGGCCCCTGTGCTGGCCACAGGGATGGGATACCTCAGCCCTAATTTTTCTAGTTCAGATGTTTAGGAACATGTTTTCAGGTAGGTGATTCCTTTTTAAGAGAATATTAAAGCAGATTTATTTATAATAAAAAAATAAAATTTTCCCTGTTATACAATTTAACTTTATGTCCATTAGTTATAGTGGACCATGTGCATATTGCATATTATTATTTGGGAAGCATCTTGTTTTAAATGGTTTACTTGCTATCAAAAAATAGGGAAGTGCTTAAATGCATTATTGCTTCTGAGTTACTTTTATTAAAATTAAAGTTTAAATAGTAATCCTATTTTTAATTGACTTTAATATCAAATAGTCTAACCAGTGATCTGTTGGTGTGATGGCCTAATGGCAAATAAAGTCTGTACACAAGTTTAAATGATTGGGAAAATCTCGTGTTAGGAAGAGAGAGTCCTTTGAGTACAACTGTAGAACGAGAGTAGAGTAGAAATTGCCTATGAAACGCATGGCCTCATACTTTTCCTGTTTAAGCCTTCCCTCTTCATTTGTTAAGTAGCATAGCACTGTTTCCCCAGAGTACCACATCATTTCACTGCATAGTTTAAGTTGAGGTTTCCTCAAAATTTCTAGGTGAGTACCCAGAATATGAAGATGGGTGGTCTGCCGCGTACAACACCTCCAACTCAGAAACCCCCCAGCCCCCCTTTGTCAGGGAAAGGGACACTTGGGTGAGTATGTAACTCAGTCATCATTAAAAACCATTTCATGTAGTAGTGTTGTATGAAAACTAAACACTACATATATTGAATTACTTTTGAATATTTGAAGACAACATTTTCTTCTGGGGATTATCTTTTTGTGTGTACCTTTCCCCTTTTCTGAGTCATTTGTACTTTAAAAGCTACTTGATTTGGAAATTGTTTTACTAATGAATTTTAAAGTTAAGGGATTATTCTGGTCCAGGTTCATGGCTTATTATAAATTGGCATCTAATTTTTAATTCCAAAATTTCCAGAAATTTTTTAGCCTTACTGCACTTGAACTTTATTCTTCTGAAGAAGGCTATTTAAATTATAAAATTCTGTGTAACCTGTGTTGGTAGAAGAATATTGAGCTTTAGTTTAAGGATGCAGAATTTTGGGCTCTGGATTTGGCTTTTAGCAAAAGTCAATTAATGAAGAAGCTTGCCTTTTCTATAAAGAAAGCCATGGTAGTTTATAGTGGTTTCTCATGATTGAGATTAGTGATCTAGTGGGTGTAGTACCTCCTGGAAGCCAGGTGGCTAAAATGATCTGGTTCTGTTGCTCACCCTGTGGTCCCGTGCAGTCAGCCTCTCTGCGGCTCAGTTTTTTCATCTGTAAAAGGGGGTAATACTGTCCTCTACCATTAAGGGACACTGCGCTACAAATTGGATTTTTAAAAGATGCCTAAGACAAAGACAAAAATGCTTTGAGAGCCATTGGCTTTATGTTCTGTGCTTGAAAGCTTTTCTCTAACAATCTTGTTTTTGGCCCCCTCACCAAAAAAAAACCTAACCTAGTGCTGCGGGTCAGGATAGGTCAGAAATGAGAGAAGATATAACAGAGAGGGTGATGTTGGAAGATGAATTGTAATTAGGATGGAGGGAGATAAAGGAACAAAATGAATTTCAGCCAGGAATAGGATGGATTTATTTGCTGTGGATAAAAAATTCTTAAGAAGCTAGTGGACTAAGTGACATTTGAACTTCAGGTTAGAAGGTAGCTGATATGGTAGAATATAATTGTTCTGTAGAGAGATCCAGAGGAAATGCTTGTTTTATTTTCCTGTGGAACAGGTATATTTCTCTCGCATGTAGTGACTAATAGATTTTGTTTGATTTTCATTCAAGACCGTAGCAAGATACATCACTGTAGTCTCTAGTGAAATATAATTTTCTATTCTCAGATTTTGAACATTTACTAATATGCCAATATTTGTTTTTCATGTTATTCACAAGAAGTCTGCAGGGCCTTTGGAGGCCAGAATTGCTGCACACAACAGGTTGATGGCCACAGCCTGGCTTTTCCGCGTAGTTTTTGCCGAGCCACTGTGTTATGTTCTCTGCCCTCGTTTACGGTTCTTTTGTTTGTTTACAGTTTTCTTATCATTGCCTTCACTGAACAACGCTCAGTTAGCAAAGATTGTTTCCTTAGATAAACAGAACATTTTTATTGTATAGGAAAAATGGTATGGAAATCAGATGTTTGGAAAAGAATTCATTTTCTATTTTACTGTTTTTAATATTTATAATTTCAGAGATGCCTAAACTTCTTTTTAGTATTATTAATTCAAAGTCTTAAAATTCCTTTTTCTTTCTTTGGCTCTATGTCACACCCAGTGTTCCTTACTAGTTCTTCATTACGCATTTATTCACGGAGACCTGGATGGTAGTGTAGTGGCCGTGGGGCCATTGAAAGTGAACGCTTCCAAAACGAAGGAGCTGTAACTCAAGTGACCCCGGAGAACAGCCTTTACAGGGGCCACGGGGCCTTTGGGAAGTGAATCAGTGGAAAATTCAAAAGTCCAGTGAGCAGCATCTCTTTGAGGAAAGAAAACGCACTAGTTTTCATATCTTGAGGTTCTAATTTTTCCTTTTTTGAAATCAGACTCATTAATTTTAATTGGCTATGTATTTATACTGTTAAATAGAATTCAGGAAACCTGAAGATAATTTTTCTGCATGTAATTCACCCAGGTAAACCATGTGTGTGCACACGGCACACATACATAGGGTGTGTGCAGTTTGAGGAAGCTCCATAGCACGTTATTGGGGTTACGACTTGGTATAGGAGAGCTGTTTTAGTGATCAGTAACGTTCCAGAGCGGATCTGGTTTCCTATCAGAATGCCTCTCTTACTCTTTTACTCTTCCTTTAAAAGGAAATTTTCGGAAGGTCTTGGGTGGTCTTATCGTTTTTTCTTTTAAATGTCAAACCATGAGGAAGGCAAGAGAAAAGAGGTGAAAGTGAGGGAGGTGAGGGAGAAGGTAAGGTTGTCAACTGGAAGGAGATTGGCTAAAATTGTGTATTTCTGTGTATTGGTAGAGTTTAATTTCTGTATTATATGGAAAGAGAAGTGAGTTCTAGCTGATACGGATGATCAGTATGGGAGTAGTAGAGCCAAATTCTGGATTTGTGTATAGCCTGTCTTTGAATTTGTTTGGTTATGAGGGAGATGTGTCCAGAAAATAAGTGGTGTGTTCATGCAGTGCAGTTGAGAGACTTCGACATACTATTAAGATAATTACTTTTAGTGGAAAACGTTAAGTGGTATGCTCTCTGAGAACGAATGAACAAAATTGCATTAGCACGGGGAAATGAGGTTGGAGACTTCAAAACAAAACAACAACAACAGAAAAAAACAATGCTCCTCAAAATCCTAATGGCGGAGAAGTAATGTTCAGGGAAACACTGACAATTGGTAGTTGGGTTATGTTAAAACACGTTTTCCTATCTTTGGCTACAAATTGTATTTCACTACTGGCAACTCTTTGAGTTCATTGTGCCGAAACTTGCCTAATCACACAATACATACGCTCTTCTTTTTGTAGGCGGCACTCCCCCTATCGCACACTGGAGCCAGTGCGCCCTCCAGTGGTACCAAACGATTACGTCCCTAGCCCAACCCGTAATCTGGCTCCCTCGCAGCAGAGCCCTGTGAGGACAGCTTCTGTGAATCAAAGAACTCGAACTTACAGGTATTTCTCTCCCGCAGCGCAAAATGTGATGGTCGTGGCACCATAATCTGTTCAGTTAGCGCGAGCTAAATCTCTTTCATTTTTCAAGGACTAAGCTCTTTTCCTCACTCTACTCCCCTAAACCTCATCTGATTCCACCTCTCTCTCCTCATGTTCTGATGCAACTTTGAACAGTTGGGAAGTTGAAAAAGGACAGACATATTAAAATGCAAACTCTTTCCAAGGTTTATAGTTTAGTTGACCTGCAAGAAAATCATGGACCAGATGTGGGAAATTTGAAGTTATTTTTTGGTGGAACTTTACAGATGAAAAACTATATACAATATAATATTAATGTGCGATAGTATATGAAGATATCATTATAAATTAGAATTAACTAAATCTGTTTAGGAAAATTACATTTTCATTTCAAAGAAACATCTTCAGATAGGCATTAAACTTGACTATAAGAAGGTAATATTTAAAATGTGTTGAGCCCCAACATTTATCATTTTTGTATTTGTATTTGTAGAGAAATTGTATTAAAGAAATTCTCATTTCTTTAATATTAATACTAGTATGTTAAGATATGGTCAAACACCATTTTATTAAATTCTTAAAAGTAGTAGACTTTTGAGTTCTCTCTACTGTAGCTATAATCATTTCAGAAATGTTGGGAAGTGAGGATACCTGACTATGAATATTCATGTTTTGGTGGCTCTTATCTCTTAGCAGCAGTGGGAGTAGTGGAGGAAGCCACCCCAGTAGTCGGAGCAGCAGTCGGGAGAACAGTGGAAGTGGGAGTGTAGGGGTTCCTATTGCTGTTCCTACCCCGTCTCCTCCCAGTGTCTTTCCAGGTAAAGCATTAACGGTACTTCATCTTCACCTCTTCTTTCTAAATTTGAATTCATTTTGAGTTTTACAGTGGACTTTCTTCATAATCATGACTTTTTTTTCCCTTCTAGGACTCCATAAATATTGGGCAATCTTTATACATATAGTGTTTTTAACCAAGTGATTTGTAAGTTTTTGTCTTCTGCATTTCTTATGTTAGTTGGTTTTATCCTTCGATGCTATGACTCAATTGGTGCTTGAGGTTCCAGGTACCATCTTGGTGTGAGTAACATTTAATTACTGCTAATACTGTGAACAGTGCATGCCTTTGGACACAATGAGAACTTAGTCTGAGAATCATCTTGCTGCACAAAGGACTAGCCAAATGTAAAAGTACACTCACTCCTCACTGATCGTCTATCTTATTATCTGACACTTCACATTTATGATAATGATAAAACAGCGCTATTCAACTATTGCATATGTTAATGATGTACACCTGGCAGTAAAGAAAGCTGAGGTGTAAAACCATCTTATGCTGGCTGTAATGGTTAAGGTTATATGTCAGTTTGATTAGGCCATAATTCATAGTGATTTGGCAGTTATGTAATGATGTCACTTGGCAGTTATATAAAGATGTGTTCATCTCCCATTAGTGATCTGATGTGATCCTTCATTTTCCTACAAGACTGATTTTTGCATCACTACCTGGTCTTTGGCATCTTTAATCATACCGATAAATGGGGAGGGGGTACAGTCTTAAATTCAGATGACTTTTGGAGCTTGGAGTCCAGGTCATAGTTCGCTCTCTCTCTCTCTCTCTCTCTCTCTCTCTCTCGTAGACAAACATGCTTATTTGATTTGAGGACACACAAAGTCTTAAAAGCATGACACAAATAAGGTTAGGATAGAATATTAAATGTTTAATATATTTGAAATAGCAAGGAAATATTTTTTTAATTCTGAGAAAGGTGTTTTTAAAAACTTGATAAAATGTGTTTATGCCTGGAATACATACTTATGTTCTGATATTTATAATTCAAATGGAATATTGTTACTTTTTAGTGTGTTATATCTAGTTTTGTATGCTGTGTACAGAATGTTATGCCTAATATAACAATATAAAGGGAACACTTTTCTTCCAGAGTAGCAGTTTTCAGGTAAAAAGAACTGTTTGTTTTTCATGAATTTTCCCCAGAGCATCTTGAATTATTTGCTGCATACCTAAGAATCCTTTAACCGAGCCTCATTCTTTTTTTTTCTTTTCAACATTCTCTTTTTAGTGCCAAGCACTGACTATCTAACCCTAAATTCTCGGTCCCCTTTTCTAACCCTGCCCAATGTTACAGTCGCTTCATTAATGCTGCTCTTACTCCTCTCTCCCTCAGCCCCTGCTGGCTCTGCCGGCACTCCTCCCCTTCCTGCCACTTCTGCATCTGCCCCCGCCCCCCTTGTTCCCGCTGCTGCCCCTTCCTCCACTGCCCCAGACGCTGCTGCTGGGGGGGCCCAGACCCTTGCTGATGGCTTCACTTCTCCAACTCCCCCTGTTGTTTCTTCCACTCCCCCCACAGGTGAGTGTTGGCCTAATCCTTAGCAGGCAAATTCACTCCTCTTTCTGTTCTCGTACTTGGAGCGCTGGCCTTATGATTTAAACTTTTAAACATTTTTTTGATGTGATTGTAATTCATATTAAGAAAGCATTTGAAAAGTAATATATTAACTATAAAATGACATGATTAAAAATTAGACTTTTTTGAGAAAATTTTGTGAGGGAACATTTCTGTATTTTTCCTGAAAGCCCACCACATGTTTGATTGCTCAAATTCCATTTAGTAGAGATTTGTAAATTAAATGCGGAGTCATCTTCTATCTG